GAGGGCACAGAGCGGGCTCAGGGGTCTCCAGAGGGCACAGAGCGGGCTCAGGGGTCTCCAGAGGGCACAGAGCGGGCTCAGGGGTCTCCAGAGGGCACAGAGCGGGCTCAGGGGTCTCCAGAGGGCACAGAGCGGGCTCAGGGGTCTCTGGAGCTAGGCTAACTAGCCTGCTAACGGCCTCTGGTGCTGGGCTAACTAGCCAGCTAACGGCCTCTGGTGCTGGGCTAACTAGCCTGCTAACGGCCTCTGGTGCTGGGCTAACTAGCCTGCTAACGGCCTCTGGTGCTGGGCTAACTAGCCTGCTAACGGCCTCTGGTGCTGGGCTAACTAGCCTGCTAACGGCCTCTGGTGCTGGGCTAACTAGCCTGCTAACGGCCTCTGGTGCTGGGCTAGCTAGCCTGCTAACGGCCTCTGGTGCTGGGCTAGCTAGCCTGCTAACGGCCTCTGGTGCTAGGGAAACTGGACTGCTAGGAGCTGATGGAGATGGCAGAAAAGGGAAAAGATCTTCCCTCTCCCCATAAAAGAAACCCCAGAGATCTGACTCTGGTATATGGGGAGCTCTGACTGTGGGGGGTGAAGTTATGAAAGCAGGTCTAAACCTACCAACCCGAGAAGCTAGCTGTTTGTCATGGAGGTGACGACTAAAGCCATAGGGGAAACTAACCAGGTTAAGAGAGGGACTGAAAAAGGAGTCAGGCTGACCCTCCGGAGAGGGAGAGGAGGAGTCAGGCTGACGCTCCGGAGAGGTGGTTGTCTTCCTCCCCCGGCGGCGTTGCTTGCGCCTGGAGGAAGCAGATGGCAGGGGAGGACCCACAGCTGGTAATGGTGGGGGAACAGGATCGGAGGTGAGAGACAGCAGAGTGGGAAGGTGATGGAGTGATGGTTTGGGTGGTGGAGGTCTATTGCAGAGTTGGGCGAAGGCGGCTTGGCGGTTCCACTCCAACTCCTCGAATAGCTCAGATAAAACTGGTGGTGATAGAAGTGAGGAGTTAGAGAGGAATACTGGCTTCAACTGGTCAGCCGCACTCACCCTCTTCCAAGGCGGACTGAGAGCGGCAATGGAGTCCAGAGCATTCCTGAGAATAATGGAAATTCTCCTGGGGGCGTCCGGGCCGTGTTCTGCTGGGTCCATTCTTGGCTGGTTCCTTCTGTCACGATTTGGTTAAAAGGTTTAGATTGGACCCAAACGCAGAAGCTGGGAGGCAGAGGTGAATTCTTGGAGGGTTTATTGCAAGATAAGGCAACAAAAACAGGTATCCAAAAATCCAACTTAAAAAAATGGTAAACAAAAACAGGAATCCAAAAATCCAACTTAAAAAATGTTTAACAAAAACAGGAATCCAAAAATCCAACATAAAAAACAAACACTAACCAGAACCATGGAGACATCAGGGAAAAACCAACAAGGAGCCAGGGTGAGGAAAGGTAAAGACGAGGAACCAGCAAAGAGGGACTGCAGAGGGAGTGTATTTATGGCTGACTGAACAAAGGTAGAGGTAATGAGCTGATAGGGAACAGGTGTGATTAGAGCTGACGAGGAAGCCAAGGGAAAAGAACACAAGGAGGCAGCAGGGGACAGACAGAAAAACCTAAGCAACTTAAATGAATCCAGACACACCAAAAAAAGCTAGAAATCAATGAAAAACCTGGCTAAACTTGAAACAGAAAGCTTAAAGAAAAACAACAGAACCAAGATCATTACAATAATGTGAATATTTTCAGAAGTGGCTTAATATTACTTTAATTCAAGTGATTTAATTATACTTTTCAGGGCTTGTAATTACTACCATTTTATTAACATATATGTTTAAAATATAATCTGTGCAACTTAAAAATAGTTTAGAACAAACAACTATTGCGTTGTAAGCAAAAATCACAGTATTATCCTTTACAGTTATCTTCTAGTAATTTAACTTATTACATTTTTATATATTCTTCTTGTGTTGTATGGGAGAGAGTCCCTTGTCCTTAAAACCTGATAACACATGTGCTAATATTTATGTTTCGTAGGAAAAACACTGTTACAATGTCTGACGTAGTTCAGCCAATGGATATTGACCAGAAACCTGAGGAATTTTACTTCGGAACAACGAACCCCCAAACACCTGACTCCAGCGGACTTGACTTCAACAGACCTGACCTCAACCAATCTGACTTCAACCGACCTGACTCCACTGGAACTGACTCCAACGGACCGAACACCAACGTACCTGACTTCAACAGACCTGACTCCTATAGATCTGACTCCAACAGAGCTGACTCCTATGGATCTGACTCCAAAAGACCTGATTCCTATGGATCTGACTCCAAAAGACCTGACTCCAAAGGACCTGACTCCAAAAGACCTGACTCCAAAGGACCTGACTCCAAAAGACCTGACTCTAAAGCACCTGACTCCAAAGCACCTAACTCCAAAGAATCTGGCCTTCAAGAACCTCGATCTCAGGTTTACTTTTCTATGATTTGCATTATTAGAGTTGTAGCTGTTCATTTGCCTGTTTAAAGGCTGTGTAATATAGACATAAATGTGTGTTCTCAGTTAGTCACACAGCAAAAACATATTTTATTAATCACTCATCTGAATAATTAAAGGAGACAACTAAGCATATAGAATTAGGTCTCAAAGGTAACAAAAAAAATTATTTGGTTTTCTCTGCCCTGAGCAACTCGATGTGTCAGCGTCGCTCTGCTCTTTGACCGCAGACACAGGCTGCAGCTGCTGTGCCTAAGTCACTGTGTTTTGGAGGAGGGAGGGGCTCAGCAGCTTTACATGAAGATGGTAAACTCAGTGTGATCGGTGCTATCATGTGTTGTTACAAAAGTCTCACACAAGACAAAGAAAAGGAGCTAGATTTGTCAGTAGTTGTTTAAAAAGAAAAAAGTTTGTATAGGGGTCTAAAAAGGCAATAAAAATAGGCTCTGAGTTGGCAACAAGGCAGAAGCTGCTTCTCTGTTTGTCTTTATACTGCTGGGCCGGCAGGGGGTGGACAGCTTCATGACGACAAGAGGCCGCATTTTTAGACAACCAAAAATCCTGAAACAGGAATATTGAAATTGAAGTCTAAATCTGTTGAAGACAATTGGGAAATTCTCTTTACATGGTCTTTAAAGGGTGCATCTTAAGGATTATCCTTACAGCTGGACAGGGAATTAATACATTAAAAGACTGGTCCCACCAACTCCTGCACCCAGGCTTCTTTTGCCTGCTGCTGCTAAGTGATATAAATAAAAATTAACTGGATTATGTCCAAAAAGGCAGATATGATTTAGAAAGGGTTGGGGTAGGTTGAAAAATCTTTGACAGGGATCCAGGGGAAGGAAGTGCACTAAATATATGAAAGAGAGGTAACTGTTAAAGATACCAAGAAACAAGAAGAGCATTGAAATATTTTTCTAAAATTAATATTGTTATTTGAATAGCCTTGTACCTTGATTTGCTTTGATTTTGTGTGAAGTTGAAGAAAATTAGTCTGTCACATGGGATCTTAATAAAAACAGTTCTTTGGTTGTATCTTGAAAAAAAATGTGAGGGCATACAAATATTTTTAGTTGACATATTAGTTTTCTTTGTATTATTATTATTAATATTAATATTATTATTAATATTAATGTTAATATTATTGTCAAACTTTTTCATTCTAATTTTTCAGGCCTCTCCAGAGCTCCAGGATGAGGTACTTCTAACTCTGTCATTAGACTGGGGGAAAAATGAGAAACCAGCAAAGGAAAAGAGATTCCTTGAAATATCTCTTCAATCTTGGTTCAACAAAAGAAACATTACAACTAATTGCTCAGTTAAAGATCCACTTGCAGATGGGCGTGTTGTGGTTCAGCTTAAACCTCCTCCAGGTGTGGTGAATGTCATTTTCTAAACCCTCTGATAATCGGCTCCCATAGCAACTTTAACAATGTTAACAAAATAATAATGGATTTTCAGATTTTTGGAACATCAATTAATTTTGTGTTTGAATTTTTCTAGTTTCCAATGAGCTTCAGAAACTACAGGGTGAAACATTAATGAAAGATGGGACAGAAGTCACCATTCTTTCACTCAGTCTGGGGGCACCAAAGATTGATGCACAAACTGCAGATGGTGCTTCAGCGAATACTGCTCCACCAGCAGCTTTAAAAAGCTCCAAACCTTCGGTGCCAGAGCAGACAGTGGTATGTACTCTAAACTAAATGCGTAACATTTGCAGAAATATATATATTCTCTTCAACCTGCTATACTTTTTATTTAGGTGGAGATGCAGATTGAAGAACAGATGGATCTGGGAGGAAATGCTCCTAGAGACCATAGAACGAAATCTGAGGAATGTGTTGTCCCAGTGGCTCATTACTGGTATGTGAGCCAGATCTACAAAGATGAAATCAGACGCATAGAGAAAGAAACTAAAGTTAGCATAATGCCAAATGTTACTGTGACATTTAACACTGAACATGAAGGTGGGAATCCAAGTGAGGCTCTCAACAGGTTTGCAGATCTCGTCCAAAAGTGTTTGTCTGATTCCACTTCCTCAGTTATTCCTCTGAAGTCTGTAGATCCTAATCGGTGGGGTGATGCACTGAAAGTCATTAATAACAATGACAGCAAGCTTTTAGTCACTATGTCCTCTGAGGAAATTACTGTCTGTGGGCCACAGCTTTGTCAAAATTTTCTCAGTTCAACTTTAAATGCAACACAGAAATTCAACTCTCCTGAAGAGACATCTAGGTCAGCTGGAGCTCAAAACTTCAACGAAGAGCTCCGCCTGAAAATCAAAATGACAATCAAAGATAATCTGACCGATACAGGACTAACCATAGCTGAGAACTCATGGGAACGCTTGATCTCTTCCTATGCTAAAGAACTTGCAAAAATCAAAGCTAAGTTCAATGTGGACTTTAAAGAGTCCATCAGTGGGGGCAAAGTTAATGTCAAAGCGTTCTACAAGAGACATGGAGGAAACCCAGCCATGGAGAGCCATGCTGTCAGAGCTCTGCTGCGTCTGTACCAGAAGATTATGATGTCACCCATGAAGCAGCCTCCACCTTATGGTGCCACTGGGCTCAGTGGTTCTGAAGAGGCTTCCAGCAGAGCTAGAATGAACGGTCATTCAACACAGAACAGCAAAGAATCAGCTAGAGGGGGCGCTACAGATGACAGAAAAGATGACCAATGCTGTATATGCATGTCTGAATTTACTAATAAGGAACAGCTGAAGTGTAAGCATGCATTCTGCAAAGACTGCCTGCAAAGGGCAGTGCAGCACAGTGGACCAATCTGTCCTATATGCAAAGATGTGTTTGGTGTGGTGAAGGGAAACCAACCTGATGGAAAAATGAGTTGGAAAAAACATTACCATGCAGACCTCCCTGGATTCCCAGGCTGTGGCTACATAGAGATCAGCTACTATATCCCTGGTGGATTACAGACGGTAAAGTACCACCTCATATACATTAAGAACTTGACATATATTTTGAAATGGCTATCACTTACCAGATTTCTTTTTCTATTCTATCAGGAAAATCATCCCAAGCCTGGACAGTACTATGCAGCAACCACTAGAACAGCATATCTTCCAAACAACAAAGAGGGGAATGAAGTTCTGCACCTGCTGGAAAAAGCCTTTGAGCAGAAGCTGATTTTCACTGTTGGAGAGTCTAGGACAACTGGGATGGAGAACGCAGTGACCTGGAATGACATCCATCACAAGACATCCATGACAGGAGGACCACAGGGGTACTGGTATCTGATTTGATCCTTTTACTTTGCTTTAATATTCAGTTTCATGTATTACACGTTTCAATTATGTTCTTTTACAGTTTTGGATATCCTGATGAGACCTACCTGAGCAGAGTCAAGGAGGAGCTGAAAGCTAAAGGCATTAAGTGAAATCTTTATTCTACATTAACTGATTACATTTTGAATATATTAATGTCTTCACAGTCTGATAAATACATTATAAAAATAAATAAATAAATGTACACACTTTGCTCTTTCAAAATAGATGTTGTGTAATCAGACCCAAAGGGTTAGTTTGAAGTGCACTAAAAACTGACTCCCATCTCTCATCTTTTAAAATTTAACTACCTGATTTACATAGATTTAGAAGGCTTTGTACATCTGCTTGTTGATTATCTTTTCTTCACATACACTTAATAAACTACCAGGTGTAACTGAACACGTCTGTGGTTTTTATAAAAAGCGGAACTATAGTCAACTATGTAAGATGATTGGATTTAAATTATCTCAAATAAATGATTAAATTAAATTAAACAGACCTTGTTTTTTTATTTGAATTAAAAAAATCCACATTAATTAACATCAGTCTCGTCCCACCCTATAAATGTGGCAATTTTAACAATAGAAGCTAGTTACCTTTCACAGTCTTGGTAAGATTATGGTTTTGATATAATATTTAAACACTAACACATTATTTGTTACATACAGAATAAATTAGGAATTACAGAAGCAAAAATTAAAAACCCAAGGTCATTATGTTACAATCAATCTATTTAGGTATTGAGCTGATAAGTTACCAATGTGTTTAGTTAATACTGCTATTGGTATTTATACATTTTAAGCTTGTTTTGTCTTTTCATTGTGGTAAAGTCCTTACTGTGTGTGTTATTATACATTTATCAAAGACATTTGTTACCTAATTTAAAATAGTAATAGTCCAATATCTCCATGTGGATCAATTACTATGGTAGATATAACATTTCTTAATGACTTAGAGGTGTAATAGAGTTATAGAAAACCAACATTCTTAACCTGTAACCTAATGATATAACTGAATCATTACTAAAGGTTTATGCTGGAAAATAATAACAGTATCAAGGAGAGGCGGCCACATTTTGTACAAAGGCCACAAATGTATCTGCTGGTTATGGGGCTTCATGGATAATTTATAATGTTTTAAGGTGGAGACCATAAAAAGACACAGAAGATAGAAAAACATTGTTCTAGTGGATCATATATTAGCCAGAACAGCAAAAACGGAGATGGTGATTAGCTCTACAGTGATTAAGAAAGTGTCTTTTCTATAATAATATGTCTATGTGAAAAAGAAACTGGGCTGAAGAGAAATATTATAGAGATAAAACCATAATCAGACGTTTTGGTTTAATTTGACAGTGCTTGTTCGCTTATAAAGAAAAAAAAAAGTTTTTCTAGTCTCATAAGCTGTCTGTGGATTGATAAATAATTAGATAATTGCAGTTTTCTGTTTATATTTTGCCTAAACTGAAGAATAAGGATCCAATTAGTGTGTTTGACTGTTATGCAACATCTAATATCTTTAATTACAAGTTTTTTTTCTATTTGAATCTTTTAAACTTGTATTATAATAAGCTAATTCTCGAACAGTCACATCTTTCTCCTTGGACTCTTGTGCCACCAGCTTTATAACATTTGGAGACCGGCTCTGAAAAGTACATTGTTTAATCATTAACATTAAAATGCAAACAGAAACCATGAGAGCCGCTTTTTTTTTACTGATTTACTTCACTTTATAACAACAGGCTTTAAATAAAAACACACACTGGCTGGTTGTCTGTACAATTCTAAAAATGTTATTTATGACAATATCTTATTTAGTTTGCAAAGTACTCCAGCAGAAATTAAACATTGTTCTTTTTTCAGAAGAAAGACAGCGTTTCCATGCATGGTGTACTATATAAAAGCTATGAGTCATTCCTGATTTTAAAAATAACAAAAATGACTTATCCAAAAGAAAAAAACTCCTGGAAACGCATTTATGATTCAGCAGAAAGTGTTCTTTAGGTAACATGATTGTACTTCTCTGGATTTTAACATGAAAACATACAGCGTAAAATAACACTGAACAGGTAAGCAAAGCATAAACTCATCGTCGTCACATAGAAAACTCTTATCGTCTCACTCCAGCGTTCAGATATGGCTGATGCTTTTCTGACAGAAGCAGCATTTCGGGGACAGAGGCCGAGCGTGAGGACCAACGTTAGCAGCAGCAGGGCACAGAGGAGAATAAAGAGGCGGCTGCTGAGGACAAAATGAACATAATGCACTTCAGACGGCGAGAGTGAACTTACAGACTTTGATTCTCAAAAGGCAAAAAGACACATTTATTCACACAACCAGATGCACGTTATCTGGTCTTTACAACGGGAAATAAAAGACAAGCAAATCGCTCCAACCCTTCCTTATCATCTGGAGGAAGACCTTTGTAACCTAGAGCTAGATAGTGCAGATATGACACCTACTGTACAACAAACCACTTTATCTGCAAATCAGCCACCATAACTGTAAAACATTAATAACGTCCGTGTATGGACTGTCACACCCACAGTCACACCAACACGCCTCCTGAACCTTCCTCACACTGTGTGGTAGAAAGCTAGCAGTACACATTGTACCGTAAAATGTGCGGTTCTGTGCAAGGAAGACGACACGATCATTTAATGAACATCGCTTTCTGAAGGGAAAAAAAAAATCTATGTTAAAAATACTGTTGCTGGCGGCTGATACTGACATTTTACATGTGCTATACACAAACCCCTACACAGTCCTGCAGGAGGACATTATTCTACGTACCGATTCAGAAAACTTTGACTCTTTCTATCCTTATCCTGCTCAAAGTCCACATAAACCACAAGCAGTTGGCACTGGCTGAGATCAAACATGTTTTCGTTTCTGTACAGTTCATACAAAAATAAAAAAATTAAAACTGCTCCAATGGTAGCATCTTTTCTGATTTTCCTGTTTCTGTTTCATTGTTTTGTTGTTTTTTTTTTATCTATTTTTTTACTCAAAGAGGTAGTGGCTATTTAGGTAAAGGGTGAGGAACGAAGTGTAAATTAAAAATCTCATAGAAAATGCTTTTATGTTGTTTTACTTTTGACCAGAGGAATCTCTAAAGAAAAAAATATAATACTGCAATCACATACAAAAGTAGTCCTTCATTTTGTACATTTATACAGTGTTCACACTGAAGCCATTTTCTCTCACACTTTGTTTGGATTTTTTTTTCTTCTGCTGTTGTAGTTTAGATTTTCTTTAAAAGGCGAGAAGATGGATGCGTTCTGAGGGGGAGGTTGTAGGATGAAGGACAGTCTATGCCAGGGGGTCTACCAGGGGCTCCTCATCTCCACGTGACAGCAGCTCCTTCTTCTCATCTGTGCTGGCCAGAGAGTTGCGGCTGTTGTGGGCGCCAATGTACAGAGTGGCGTATACGGGATTGGTGAAGTTGGTGGGCTACAGGCGAAAAGTTAGGAAATAAACAGTCAGTATGTATTGCCACTCAAAACAACATTTTTTATACTATGTCATGTTTTAGCCCCAAACGGCAATTATTTTAAGAGACAGATCAAACAGGGTTCCTCATTTTCTAAATACAATCTAAAAAGTGTGAAATGTGTAAAATGAACCTAAAAAATATTATGCATCAAATTGATGGCAAGGAGAATATTGAACACACACACAAAAAACAGCCAATAGACTCCCTGTAACTCTGGGTAAGCTGCAGAGGTTCACAGCTTAAGTAGAAGAATCAGTTTTAACAAACCTGAGGCAATTAATCAGGACTAATTAGGCTAACATGACTGCTCACTGAGGGGGTCATTCAGAAAGGCACATGTGAAAGACTGGAATTGAAGAACCAAGAATTACATTCAGTGAAAGCCTTAAGCTGGGCCTACACTGTGAGATTTTTTTTTGCCATTTCGGGCTGATAATTTTTTCGATCGGGCTGAGTTTCAGCCTCATCCTGCAATATGTAGTGTACAGGGGATGACGAGGGGCGATCATCCTCTTACGACACCTCAGGTCAGGGATCGCAAGGTCGGGTGACAATCCAACATGTTTGAATATCAGTCCGCCCTCGTGTGGCGTTCGTAGGCAAATCCTGCTGATGAAGCAGATCCATGAGCCAGGTTACCAGAACCTTGCACACTGCACATGTGCAAACAAGGGAGTTCTTCTTCCAGATTAACGAGTCCAACCAGCACCATCTTTCGATGCAGAGTCAGATGTGTGGTTTTTGGACGTTTAGTGTTAGCAGGTAGATCAAATCAGACCGTACATTGTAAGAACATACATCTTGAGCTGTGGAAAAATTGTGGAAACTAAGCTTGTATGAGTGATGCAAACAGCAACTGGTGTTTGCTATTGCACGCATTTAACAGACACTCCCTGTGGGGAGCAGGTACAGTACAAGGTTGTGCATGTGTAATTTTTTTTTTTAAGTGGAGAGGGCAGCACTGCATGAAAAGTGGGATTTTCGTCAATATACGGCACTGTAGATTGTCGTGGAACTTCAGGTTAGCGGCAGTTTACGGCAATTTGCAGGCTTCGTTGTAAACTCCCGTAAATTGTCAGAAATTGACGTGGAATTTCTTAGGCAGTGTTCCCCCCATGCCTGCCCCCATGGAATTCTAGGGGAGGCTTTAACATGTAAATGAACATGCTGTGAGCTATACAAATGCAAACCAGGGTTGCAGGGGGGGTTTTACCCCAAGTGACATCTTTCTGAGGAAGAAAATCTCTGATACAAAGAGATCAGGCTTAGTATAGCCTCTCACATTTTAGCTTGAATTGATTTATTTAATTAAAGTATAGAGACCAAAACAGATCTTTAGCTGACAGAGCAATACATTTAGAGCAGTAATTATTTTAAAAAAAATTTGCATTTAAGATAAAAAATAAAATGTTGTCTGTCAATATGCTCAATTCACAATTACTTAAGTGGAAAAGTTTCAAGAAATGAGTCTGAGATGATTCACTTTATAACATGGCGCATTATCCTGTTGGAAGTAGCCATCAGAAGATTGGTACACTGTGGTCATAAGGTCCGGCCAGGTCAAGATCCGCAATTGCAATTGCACCAAACAGGAAAAAGAACATCGACAAATTCCGGTTTGTCAAATTAAAATATAGCAGCAACAGATCGGTGACTAGAAATTATAGCACAATTCTTATATATATATATAT